TACCGCTCTCCGGAAATTACTTTCATAAAGAAAACAATTTGTGTTTCTGTGAGAGAAATTTAATTTTGTATTGCGTTATACAAATTTAGGAACTGGTGTGTGTTAGAGCTCGTAAGAGTAAGCGGGAATCTAGTGAAAGTCAGCGGTTATAAAGGACACTGCAGATAAATGTGCACAATGCGAATCATATTAAGCCTTCATGATGGGTAATCGGAGCAGTGGTGGTGCCATCTGCATTCAATGCCGGTATTCAAAATCCGAGTGTTGAAAACCGCATCGATCTGTCTGCAAAACGGCGACTGTGGTTTGGTGGGAACAAAGCGAAGTCCCTTGAGGCTTAGTTTTATATTACTTTGTAGAAACAGTGAAACCACAGATAATTCTAGCAGCGTCGCTGGACCAAGGCATAGTAGGGCAAACGCTAATTGCATGTGAACAATAACGTTCACGTTACGATAAAACAGATTGGATTCACAAGTATAAAATATTTATAATAAGAGTGTTTAAAGTATTTAAATGTACAGGAAATTGTAAAAGTCGAAAAGTGATTAGTTTAAAATGTATAAAACAGTTATCATCATGAATACGAGATGAACTAAAGACTGTTTCACAGACGCATTGAGAAGTGAGTAGTATTTTGTTTCCTGTAGTGTTCTCACGTCTCAAACAGTGTTCATCTTTTTACATAAGGAAACAGAAAAAGAGACAGCAGAACTTTCCTCGGTGGTTTGTGGCACGGTTCCTCTCTAAGAACGCATGTAACTGCACTGTTCATAGTCACGCTTGCACATGGACTGGCGCTGTGAGATTGAGGAAGTTGGTTCAGCTGCTGCAGTCCTCAGACGCTAAAGACAGAACATTTTAAACAAAATGAACGCTGCACAATCTTCAATTCTGTAACGAATTTACATCATACTAGTTATCGTTATTTTCTCAGAAACTTAGGAAATGCGAAAGTTTTCCAAAGATTTAGTAATAGTTCATCAGATTTTAAAATAGTGACTCCTGTCTTTAGCCTGTTATTCTTCAAACAGTGCCAGTAGTTATTTCACTGAAAAGAATTTAATTTTCTTCAAAATACTTAAGTTCGCAGTATAACGGCGTCTTGCATAACATGCATTTTTAATTAGCAAGGGAAAAGTTCCCTTTAATTGGGCGGAAACACTTCTAAAGCACAAAGCTCGAGCGCATTCAAGTGCAAAGGACATTAACTTCAAGTGCTACGTATTTATTTTAGAAGTGACAAATGGTCAAAACAATCAAGACGGTTCTCAGATGTTTGTACAAACAATAACGTCGTCTTCCAAGTCAACCTCATATTCAGCGTAGAATACGAACAATCTAGAAAGAGTATTAAACCATCAGGAGATTTTCTATACGATAATCTTAAGGAAAGGCTTAATTTAAATATAGCATTACAGAATTAGAGCAAAAAACCACCATGTCTTATAGAATATGTATTGATGTAATGTTTAGTTTATAAATACGGTACATTATTTCGTCTTTAAATTATTATTAAAAACTGAATATTTAATAGCGCAGTGATAAGTTAAATTACGTTAATAATTTGTAGGCAGCGAATATAACACAATGAAAGTCTAATCATTGTTCTACTTCATCAGAGTCTGTTCAACATCGATTAAATTGTGACAGGCGAACATGACATTTCCTGACGTAAGTAGAATCTTTGGTATTATAACTTGATGTTATAGCTGGTTCCTTTTCTTGGGTCAATATGAAGACAGCATAGAGTGAAGCGAAACGGATCTGTGGAGAGAGTTGTGAGATGTTGTATTTATCAGAATACAGCTTTATATCCAAGTCCTACGGAATCGCATTCAAAGAAAGTTGAGGGCTAAACAGTAGTAGTAGTCATACTGGTTTCATAAACTTTTTAACCGCGCTCTATCATAAATGTGGCTTAATGTCTTATTCTGAAAGCGCACATTAAATTTTATGCAGGCTGAAGAGAATATATTGGAGGTCAAGACGTTAAAAAATGTGGAAAATTTGAGAAAAGTAATTCTCTACTTATTTTCGAAGGAAAGTATCGTCATCTTTTTACACCATAAACCGCATATATAAAATGATGTTATTAAAAATTTATTAAAAACTTTTTTACCAAAACTGTTCAACATGTCGCTTTAGAATACGTTTCAGGAAAGAAATCATAGTTTATTTCAGAAATTTCCTGTTTCATCACAACCACGTGATGAATAAGTCAAAATTGATCCTCAAACTGCACACTTTTATAATAATTAAAATAATGCAAATAACACACATTGATGTGATTTAGAGTATTTCTGTCTTTACATTGAATTTAATATTTGTGTCAGTAACGAGAGTGAACGAATTGTGGGTTACACCAAAGGGCACATGCGAAATTCATTGTATTTGAAACGCCCTCGGAATCCAATCTAACAGGTCATTGAGCATTGTCACTCTGACAAACCGTGCCAAAACAATATGATGTAATAATTGCACATTGCCTGGTTACAAAACAGCAATGTTGTAACACGTGAATGCATACACACGCTTTGCAAAAGCAATAAACAAATATGCATCACGTTTAACAAACATGTTTGAATATTAAAAACACGTCACTCAGTTATTTATTATTGTTCTTTCAGTTGCTGTGGAACTCGGAAGCAATATTCAATATATTATTTATTTATTTAAAGACACGATATACAGGCTCCTGCGTATTTTTTAAGTTGTTTCCTCGCTTCAAATAAAATATAATTTCGTTTAGTTTCATTCTTGCGTCAAATACAAAGTTTTGCTGCTGGATGACAGAATTTTTGTTTCCTAGTCGTGACAGATGTTGACCTCAAAAAACAGTGGGATGTTTTATGTAGCCTATTGTAAAGAGCACAATTCGTAGACTATTATCTGATTCTGACACAATACAACCGATTCTGTGTACCTTATCTGATTCCAGCTTGAATGTGTTCTGAACGAAAGACGAGTGCACATTGGCATGTTTTTTCTCGTAAGCCTCTTACGTCTTCAGACGAAAGGACGATAAAACAAACAGAGTCAAAGTGCTGGTATACAGAAGAACGTCGTTATAAACCGAAGAGAAACTTCTCATTAGCATCTCCCCGTTCTGCATTTGCATCATAAGGCCAAGAAGGAAGCGTGCCATATTTCATTACCAAAGTGCAATCTTCATTATCATATTTAACGACATTACCGCTCTCCGGAAATTACTTTCATAAAGAAAACAATTTGTGTTTCTGTGAGAGAAATTTAATTTTGTATTGCGTTATACAAATTTAGGAACTGGTGTGTGTTAGAGCTCGTAAGAGTAAGCGGGAATCTAGTGAAAGTCAGCGGTTATAAAGGACACTGCAGATAAATGTGCACAATGCGAATCATATTAAGCCTTCATGATGGGTAATCGGAGCAGTGGTGGTGCCATCTGCATTCAATGCCGGTATTCAAAATCCGAGTGTTGAAAACCGCATCGATCTGTCTGCAAAACGGCGACTGTGGTTTGGTGGGAACAAAGCGAAGTCCCTTGAGGCTTAGTTTTATATTACTTTGTAGAAACAGTGAAACCACAGATAATTCTAGCAGCGTCGCTGGACCAAGGCATAGTAGGGCAAACGCTAATTGCATGTGAACAATAACGTTTAAATTACCTTAATTTTACGATTACGCTAATTGCATGTGAACAATAACGTTCACGTTACGATAAAACAGATTGGATTCACAAGTATAAAATATTTATAATAAGAGTGTTTAAAGTATTTAAATGTACAGGAAATTGTAAAAGTCGAAAAGTGATTAGTTTAAAATGTATAAAACAGTTATCATCATGAATACGAGATGAACTAAAGACTGTTTCACAGACGCATTGAGAAGTGAGTAGTATTTTGTTTCCTGTAGTGTTCTCACGTCTCAAACAGTGTTCATCTTTTTACATAAGGAAACAGAAAAAGAGACAGCAGAACTTTCCTCGGTGGTTTGTGGCACGGTTCCTCTCTAAGAACGCATGTAACTGCACTGTTCATAGTCACGCTTGCACATGGACTGGCGCTGTGAGATTGAGGAAGTTGGTTCAGCTGCTGCAGTCCTCAGACGCTAAAGACAGAACATTTTAAACAAAATGAACGCTGCACAATCTTCAATTCTGTAACGAATTTACATCATACTAGTTATCGTTATTTTCTCAGAAACTTAGGAAATGCGAAAGTTTTCCAAAGATTTAGTAATAGTTCATCAGATTTTAAAATAGTGACTCCTGTCTTTAGCCTGTTATTCTTCAAACAGTGCCAGTAGTTATTTCACTGAAAAGAATTTAATTTTCTTCAAAATACTTAAGTTCGCAGTATAACGGCGTCTTGCATAACATGCATTTTTAATTAGCAAGGGAAAAGTTCCCTTTAATTGGGCGGAAACACTTCTAAAGCACAAAGCTCGAGCGCATTCAAGTGCAAAGGACATTAACTTCAAGTGCTACGTATTTATTTTAGAAGTGACAAATGGTCAAAACAATCAAGACGGTTCTCAGATGTTTGTACAAACAATAACGTCGTCTTCCAAGTCGTGTGTGGTTGTCCTTGAATGTTCAGTTTATTCAAGACAGTAAGTGAAAAAGCACGCGATTCCTACAAGAGACAGAAGACTTCGGATACCACATAAGGACGAGTGATGTTTTAATTACTATTATTTTCTGAGTTCCTTCTAAAGACTCGACTTATTAAAAGCAAAGACGAAGTGTGTCTGAGATCAAGGAAAAAGTCTATTTAGAAGGTGGTTAGTTCGCACGGCTGCCGATTGTAATCCGTCTCAAAAATAAACTGGGGTCTTTTGGCACCAGATATTCTATTTTAAACTTAATGACCCCTCTGACAGCATAATATTGGTAATATTAGGTGGTGATGTGTCTTTCTGAATAGGTAATAAATAGTTTAGGAGCCTATAGTCCTAATAACTACAGGATTAACCTAACTTTATTCACAGTTGTCTACTCTGTTTACATATACAACATTGCAACAAATAAACGTATTACTTATGCAACTTGTTAGTTTTTAATTGTGACATAAACATAACTGCAAAGACCTAGGAACCAAACTGTGTATCGCACTGGGTGAGAACTCATAAACCACAGCAAAGTTTATTCACACCGATGTGGAACTGTTCAACTGAATAACTCTCGTGTTGTTTTACAGTGTGTAACTTTTATTCTTAACCTTAAAGAAGGCGTACTCATTTTGTATACAGTTTACTGACGTTAAACAGACACATTACATTTGTGTCAGTGGGGGTTTATGTAAAAATAGCGCAGTTCACATATTTTACCTATAACAATTTGTTGGTTTCTTATATCTTTTCTCTTAATTATGTAAGTGAAAGTAGTAAGTTTATTTTGAAGGAGTTTTGAATGAGCTAGTGTTAACAAGCGGATGTCACAGCACGACGAAATGGACATATCGGGAACAGTAACTTCACCGCCTCCTCTGGGTGTTGGAATTGGTGGTCTCCGATACCACGCGTGTGGAAATAGTTCAGGGAACTTGAGTGACTTCGGCGCCTTCTGTTCCAACATCACTGAAAGCGTGAACGGTTACGGTCTGCACCCTCTTCCAGAGCCGCATTCTCTTCAGCTGATCCAGAAAGTCGTCTCCATTGTTGTTCCTATTCTCTTCGGACTCATCGTCCTCGTTGGACTCTTCGGCAATGCTCTGGTAAGTAAATGCATCTCGTGCAATCTTATTATTTAAGATATGCTCTCTCATCAAAACGCAGGCAGAAGTCTGATTTGTTCAGTCGTGCAGTCTGGTAGAAACTACCTGATGTTTCAGAGGTGATCGCTTCGACCATCACCAGGGCGAGCATGATGGAGGCAGTACACACCACTGAAACGTCCGTATCTACTAGACTACATGCTGTAACATCCCACACTCGTCGCGATAACGTAAAATGTGGCATATAATAGTTTATATTTACTTATTATTTATTTAATGATGCTGTAAGTAGCTCAGACGATACAGCGTCGAATTATAACGATAAGTAATGATAATGAACTGTAAATTATGTGCAAGGAAGAGGTCGTGGGCTACTTTAAGTTGTTATCCCAGTATTTACCTGGAGGAAGTGAGGAAATCCACAAAAATCTTAGTCGTAGTAGCCGGTCTCTGGACCGAGATTTTAACCATACATCTCCCTAGTACGAAGCAGGAGTGACACTTACTCTCCGCGACGTAGTACTCAAACACAAGACGACCTATTACGACAAATGCCAGTGATTTTTTTGTTCGCTTTTGTAGATCAACTTGTTACATTTCCATTGGTTTTTCCCATTATACATTAGAGTAAAATTTGAGACAATTTGCTGTATGATCACGTGCTAAAGCAGACGACAGATATCCGCCAATAATGACACTATTTACTTGCGATAAAACAATCTTACGCACACCGTTTTCATGTTCCATACATTCTACCACTTACGAAGTGAGGCATGATTTCCTTTAGCAAATGACCATGGCAGTAAAAACAGTCAACCACAGTCGCAAATGTCAGTAAGACAAAATTCGGCTAGTGAACTGCGACGATTCATAATCTGGCTCTCCCATGAAGATTATCTCCAAAAGACGACTTATTTTTCATCTCAGACCTGCTAATATATCTTGTAGATAGACCATACCGAGTTTAATAAAAATTGGTCATGTGGTTTGGGTCTTCTTACATGCGGACTGAAGGACGAACAAGTTTTAAGCCATCAGCGAAGCGAAGTTTAAAGTTTAAGATGTCTACTCGTGGTACAAAAGTTCTGTACAAGCCTGC